GGCAAGCCATATGTGGATCTAATGAGGGCCCTATACAAATTTCTACTCGGGATGATGAACTTACTCACCGTCTGCGAGGACAGGTAGGCGTCGTTGAGGCAAATATGATGCGTCTCCCAGCGTCTCAGGAATTTGCTGGACAGTATCTTCTTGACGAGGGTGCGGGTCTGATTGAGATAACACACCTGTATGTCGCCCTCTTCGAGCGGTTTGAATCTGGGCCCGATCGGGACCGTGCTCGGACTCGGACTGGACGAGCCGCTCGTGGACGAATAACCGGCGCCCTGGCGTTCCAAATTCGGGCAAGATCTCGCGATCGGCAGACATCCGGTCACGCCGTCCAGTCCCTCGGGCTTGAGCGAATCCGCGCCGGGACTGCCGTCCTCGCCGTACGAGCTGCATGTGTCAGCCGGAGGTGATTCCGCGCTGGATGGTCCGCTGGACGACAGTTGCGGCGAGCTGGTGCTGGTGGTCTCTTGTCGCATCGCGCCACCAACGCCGTTCACCGTCAGAAAGTCGTAGTAAGGCGCGGTGGACGAAGATAGGCCAACGGTAGAGGAGATCAGAGCGACGGTGGAACCGGCTGCCGGGCTGGGCGGCAGAGACAGAGCTTCGTCGGTCTCGGTCTCCGCCAGATTGCAGACTTCCTCCTCGTCGTCGTTCTCTTCCTCGCTGAAACCGTTCTCCAGAGACGGTATGTCGCCAACGGAGACGGCGGCCGTCTGCGGGCTTTCCGTCACGTCGATTTGCACTGACGGCGACGAGGCGGTGGTCGTCGCCGTGACGACGCTTTGTTTGCCCTCGTCGATACGAAGGTTCCTCGAAGAGCACGAGGACTCCGCCGTCGAGTCGCTCGCAGGTGACGGAGACGTCGACGAGGGACAGGCCTCGCCGTTGTTCGAATTCGAAGAGTCGCTCGAGCGTAGACGCAACATCAATTTGCGTCTCCAGCTGCTGCCGATCCCGTTGTTACCGGACTTCTTCGTAGGCGACAGCAACACTGTCTGAGAATTCTCGTCCCGTGAACTCTTGTTCGAGTTGTTCGTGTCGTTCAGCATTTCCGTCACGCCGTTCGGCGAGGTCAACGTGTCCGAATCAGGTGACAAGGGTTCAGTGTCCAGATAATCAGTGCGGATACCCGGAAGGGTGTCCGTGCTGCTGGCGCCGGAAATTGAGGCCTCCTGGTCGATGAACCTGATAGACGAATTGGAACCCTCGCTGGTCGCCTCGGAGTCGCGTCGTTTGCATTCGGTCGCGTTCAATGTCTTGTTGGTGGGCGACAGAATCGCGTTAACCAGCGACGATTTGCTCTTACTCGGTAGCGACACGACGCCGCGCGACGAGCGCGTAAAGGGACTTTGAAAGCAGAACATGTTGCATGTGTGTTCTACTTATCCTTCTTCTTTTTCTTATTTTATTTGCGTACGACGTGATCTCCGAAGATTCTTCGGAGTTTCTTTCACGAAATCGAAAAAGAAACGACGACGAAACTTTTCGTGACAGTAAACCACTTGTCCGAAATTTCTTATCTTCTCAACGATATCGACGTCAGGCACGCGCGCGAGTGAATCGAGGGATTTACGCGTTGCCCGTTTTTCTTCCTGAACTTTCGCCCTTGCTCGACGCCCCCGCACGCCGATAATCCGCCAAGTATCTCTTCGAAAGAGAACAACGTTCTTTGTTCCCGTTGTCTTTCCACGATACCGATATCGAACTATAATTTCGCGTGTCCCGACGATGCTCCGTCGAATTTACCACTACGCGTTTCTCTTCTTTGTTCTCTCGCCGCGATGCGGATATTTATTCGAATTCTAACGAGCCACGCGCTTCTTCTCGCGAACGTTTTTGTTTTTTTTTTTTAACTTGCCGAACTCAGTCACTCATTTTTTACGCACACGTTGAAACACGCCGCAATTATACATCTTCTGAGAGCTGCGATATACACGTTGGCTTTCGTTTGACGTCGAAGTGTCAAAACTAACTTGACAATAGCCGTCGCAGAGACAGAAACGAGACGTTTGGCAACAGCAGAATTATATCCGCCGACTACGGTGTCGCGAGCGCGACTTGCACGCCGAAGGAAGAGGATCTGCAGAGGAGGCAGCTGATGCAGGGTGCGAGTGAGAAGGAGAGAGAGAGAGAGAGAGCGAGAAAAAGAATGTGGGAGAGAAAGATGGGTGACGTCGTGAGAGAAAGAGAGGGAAGAGACGGCCACACGGGGTTGGGGAAGGAGGACGTGCGAGTAAGAAAGGGAGAGAGCGCGCGTCAGGCGTGTTTCCGACGTGATACGTAAATGTCTGACACGACCGGGGAGACGACAGACAGGTGGGAACGACCGAGAGAGGGCAACGACGAGGAGAGGGCGTCGCGGCGCACGGCGTCTGCTGATCGATCGATGACTATAGTCGCGAGTTCGCGCGGGTTTATCGCACTAGCTGAACGCGGACGTTCCCTCGTTTCTTATCGCCGTGTATTATTTTCTCTTCAGGTGCGCACACTGAGAGAAAAAAATAGTTGCAGTTATCACAATTTCACTATAATTTATAGTGATTTAAGGTGCCAACTATTTTTTTATAGTTATTTTAACAATGCGCCTTATAGTTGATTCAATAATATATTATTGTTGCCATAGCTTTAACATGCATTCATACAACCATATAATAGTAAGATTAAACTTTTTATATATAATTTGATCTATATAATGCATATGGTCCCAAGTAGCATAAAAAAATGTTCGGCGAATGTTAGAACACAGAATAATTTTTCGCGTCTTGCGTTTTTAAACAGCTTTGAGATTTCACTTGAATTAATCTTTGGAGGCC